CCAGCCTGTCCTCTTGTGTGGCAGCCCTTGATGTGCCCCCAGCTCCCAGCCTGGCCCCACTGTCTCCTGTCCCTGCTCCTGTCCTTACCATAGCGCCTTGGAGCTGGCTCAGTCCCTGGGGCTGAGCTGTGCCCTCCCTTTCCCCCACAGGCTGGGGCAGCAAGCATGACATCCGTGTGGTGGAGACCAACTACGATGAGTATGCCTTGGTGGCCACCCAGATCTCCAAGAGCACCAGCTCCTCCACCATGGTGCTGCTCTACAGTACGTCTGCCCTGGGACCTCCATGCCACCCACCCCCCAGAATCCCCTGAGGTGTCCTCGGTGCGACATCTCTCCCACGGGAGAAGGGCAACATCATCTCCCAAGCTGGGGTGACCCATGGGATAGTTGGGTTGGGCCCTCCTTTGTGGGGACACTGGCCCTTGCTGGGCTGCCCACACCCTGGGGCAGCATGACCCATCACTGGGGGGTGCAGGGGGGACTGCCTCTCACCCTGCTCTCGGCTGCAGGCCGGACGAAGGAGCTCAGTCCCGAGCGCCTGGAGAGGTTCACCGAGTTCTCCAGGGAGCAGGGCCTGACGGATGAAGAGATCCTCATCCTGCCCCAGACCGGTGAGAGCAGTCGGTGGGAGAGGCTGGAGGGGCAGGGGGTGTCGGAGAGCAGGGGCTGAGGTGCCCCAGGGTGCTGAAAAGGAGGAGACCCTCCTGCCTTCTCCCTGCCTCCCTGTGGGGCTGGCATAGAGCCAGCCGTGGGGTGCTGCTGGGCACAGCCCCATGCAGGGTCCCTCAGAGGGGTCAGCAGTCCCCCAGCCCCTGAAGGAGCTGATCTCTGCTTTTCTTCCTCCTCCAGACAAATGCATGGAAGATGCTGCCTAGGTGAGTTCTGCCTTTGCTGGGGCTCAGACCAGCCATGCAGGAGGGTGCAGGGGGTGCTCAGAGCCACTCCACTCTGCAGAGCCCCCATCCCCATCCCATCCCCCCCCAGGGCTGCTCATCTCGCTGGGGTCCCCTTTACCCCTGCTGGGGATGCCCCATCCCATCCCATCCCCATGGGAGTGGCTCTTTTGTTGTTCCAGGCCCTGGGTGGTGGGTGCCTACCCATTTGGCACAGGGCTGGCAGAGCTGACGTGCCCCTTTGTGTCCCTCTGTCTCCCCCAGCTCAGCCACACTCGCTCCCTCATCTCTTCCAGGCAGACCCACCAGCTGCTGCTGGCTGGAACGCCGAGAGCACTGCAAGCCGGCAGCCGCCCTGTCATGTCCCATCCCATCCCTAGCGCACCCCCACCACTGCAGCAGCCTTCACATCCCACACCTGTATACCCATCCCCATTAAAGTCCATATAAAACCAGCCCCCCACCCTTGTGTGCTGGGTCATTGCAGGGGGGGCTCCAGTAGGGTGATAGGGAGCTGGAAGCACGGCTGGTGGTGGTGGGCTGGGCTGGGGTTGGCACCAGGAGTCAGGGCTGATCCCATCTCCTGTCTGCAGGGCCGCTGGGGTGGGACGCTGTGTGCACTTGCAACCCCATGCCAAGGTGCTGCCTGGCCACCAAACCTGCCCCGTCCAAGGAGAAGGAGCCCTCAGGGCTGGGACCCGCTGGGGGGATCCACTCCTGTCTGCCCCCTTGGGCACCCTGGGCTACCCCAGCCTCCCTGCTTCAGTTTCCCTGCTGGAGAGCAGGCTGGCAGTGTGGGGATGGGGCAATGGGCAGTCACACGGATGTCTCCAAAAGTGTGGGGGCAGGATGGACATGAACCAGAGCACAGCTGTGAGTGTTGGATGTGGCTCAGCCCTGGCCATCCACCTGCACTCCATGCCATGAGCCCAGACCCTCTCTAGGAGCAGGGTCTGTACCCACTGCCAGCAGCCTGGGAAGCTGCAACCCCTTCTGGGAGGCACTGGGCTGTGGCTCAACCTTGGGCTAAAACACCCACCCAACTATCCCCCTCCTTGAGGCAGGATCTGTCCAGGAACTGCCAGACCCTGGGGGCAGCAGGCAACAGCCAAGACTGGGGCACTGAGGGCACCCTCATCCTCCTACCTGGACACAGCACCGGGTACAGGGCATCACCTGACGTGCTCCAGGCTGGGTCTCACACAAGGCTGCATTCATCCAGGACTGGGCAATTAGAGAGGGAAAGGGCCAACACTGTCACCTAACACGGGTACAAGTTGTGTACTGCTCTTGTGTAACCTGTTGCATAAAGCAAGGGCGGGCAGGTGGTGCTGCCAGTGGCAGGGGCTATAAAGGTGGGTGTGGGAAGAGGCAGGTCCATGCACCCTCTCCTGCCTGCATCCAGCCCCTGGAGAAAGGATGACAGCGTTGCTGCCCAGCCTGGCGCTGGCCCTGCTCTGCCTGCTGTGGGCAGGGGCTGAGATCCCTGCACAGTCGGGCTTCAAGGCCAAGAAGGTAATGGCACAGGGTGCCCACCTGGCCAGTCCTGCCTGGGCTGGAGGGGCTGGCTGGAGCAGGATGCCTGTGCTGTGTCCCTGGGCATGGCCAGGCACCCCCAGGCACCCCCCAGTCCCAACACCAGGGCAGCTGCCAGAATGGTGTGGATGCTTGTGCAAAATTGGGTTAGCTCTGGCCAGCTCGTGCCCTCTGTGGCCAGACCCACTGCAGCGACATGAACAACCATGGTGTGGTGCCGCCAAGTGTGCAGCGCTTCCCCAGGGAACAATGGGCTAGACACTGTGCCCACTGTCCTGGCACATGGCAGGGCAGGGTGTTCTGCACACAGGCGGGTGGCAGGTCCCCATGTTAGGCTGGCTGGTCCCCACAGAGGGTGGCAGTTCCTCCACCGCAGGCTGGCAGGTTCCTACAATGGGCTGGCAGGTCTCCCTGGCAGATGGCAGGTCCCCACGGCTTCCCCAAACCCCACTGGTGATGTTCTGCTGTAGTTTGCAGGGACATGGCATGTTGCAGCCACTGTTTCCAACTGCTCCGTGTTCCTGAAGATAAAAGACAGGATGAAGTCGTCCATCACCACAATCAGCTTCACACCGGAGGGGGACCTGGCTATGAAGCTTTTCTGGTCCCTGTGAGTGCCCATCCTGCTCACCATGTCCCTCTTGGGCCAGGGGTCTCCCCTCCCCACCAAGGCGGCTGGGTGAGGAGCATCATCCCACAGACCCACTGCCCCATGGTGCCTGGTCCTGCCTGTGCCCTGGCGTGTCCCCTGGGCAGGCTGGGCTCCCCCTGGCCCCACCACCCTGCTGCACTCCCACGTGGCGTTGAGCCACGTTTGCCGTTTCCATTTTCCCTTTCCAGGCTGGACAGATGCCAAAAGTTTGAGCTGCTCTTCCAGCAAAGTGGGCAGGCAGGGCACTACATAGGTACGTGTGGGTAGGGGGGATAGGAGCCAAGGACACCCTGAAATGGAGGGTGGGCATCACTGGGCCCCTGTGTCCGGGGAGCGGCAGGAGGCAGGTTTGGCCCTTCTGCCTCCATCGCTCAGCAAGAGGTCGTGCTGCGGGCAGGTGCCCAGCTCTGCTGGATTGCACAGGGGTTCCCTTCTCATAACCCCTTCGGGCAAATCTGGGACTCAGACCCTGAGCTGTGAGCCCCAATGAGGGCTGTGGAGGTGCCCAGGTTGTGCCGCGTTGCCCAACTGGGCACTGTCTGGGGTCCTTTAGCAGGACGAAAGAGGGACCTGTGTGTGATGGAGACAGACTATAGCCACTATGCCATCATGCACGAGCTCCAGCAGAGTGGACGGGACCCCAGCACCGCTCTGCAGCTCCTCAGTGGGTATTGGGATTGGGGACAGGCACCCACAGCTCCCTGGGGTGGGAGATGGGCACTTCCCCCTGCCACAAACCACCACATTGGCACCCAACATGCTGGCACCAGGCACCCAGGCACATCTGGGGAATTCATTTTGGGGTGAATGAAATCTTGCACCAAAAATATCCCTAGTTTATTGTGGTTCGAACCAAAGCCCCCCAGCAGTCTGCCAGTCCAGCTGCGGACCCCCAGCACCGCCAGCTGCCCCATACCACCCCAGGTGGGTAGGTTACCCATCCCAAGCAGTTTGTGCCCCTTTGCTGCCAGCCCGGGGCAGCTGTGGGCTGCCTGGTGTCCACCCTGCACCCCCATGGCTTTGCTTTTGCTCTTCCCTGGGGTCCCATCACTGCCCCATGGGAGCCAGACCCCTGGTGTCGGGCTCACTACCAGGTCCCCCCACACTCACCAGCCCCCGCTTTGGGTGTCTGGCTGCAGCGAGGGAGCAGGACGTGAGCCCCCAGCTTCTGCAGAAGTTCAGAGAGCTCATCCCCACCATGGGCCTGACCAAGGACATGATGGCTGTCCTGCCCAAGTCGGGTGAGTGCCAGGAAGGCACGGGGTGGCATGCACAGCCCCTCTGCATGGGTAAACTGTGGGGGCTCAGGGTACTGCCCATGGCATGCTCACCCTTCTCTTTGCTTTTCAACAGATCAGTGCACCAAGGCCATTGGGTGAGCATGGCTGGGGGAAACTGGGTCTCCCTCCCAGCATGGTCTGGGCTGAGCAGGGACTCACAGACATGCGGGGAGCCCCCCGCCTGCCTCAGGGCTCTACATCTCATCAGCTTTTCCCTGCTCTAACAGCTCATCCATCTGTCCTGCCTCCCTGCAACTGAAGGGGCCAACACCAGCGTCATGTCTCCAGATGTGGTGGAAACTGGGCTCTGCTCCCTCCTCCATGGTGCCCCTTCCCATCCTCCCCGGCCGGGCTCTGCCATACCTGCTGCCCTGTGCCAGAATCACACCTCGTCCTCCTAAATAAATAGGTGCAGAAGCTACCCCAGAGCTCCGTGCTTTTGTTGTCGGGAGCAGGGGTGCTGCCAGGGTCCCAGGCACCCTGAGCCCAGTGGTCCTGGATCCGACCCTTCCTTCTCAGCACCCCAGGAGTGTTGGGGGGCTCCTTTGCTGCATTGTTTGCAGTGTCCAGCATGGGGAGGATGGGGAGCAGAGGATGGGGAAGGTGCAGTGGGGCGTCTGCCAGGGATATGGGCAGCGGAGAATTGAGCTGGGATGAACCCCTGTTCAGGCAGCTCAGCTGCGTGGGCAGCAGGTCTGGGCAGGCAGGGTTAAACAGTCAGGCTGCCCAGACCTGCTTGCATGGGCTCTGGCTTTGGGCAGACAGCTCATCCCCAGGACACCCTGTTCCCTGCTTAGCCCCTACCCCCAGGGCCACCCAAGTGGGAGTGGGGCTGCTCTGTGGCTGCCCAGGGTAAATGCATGGCAGGAAGGGGACCCCCACGCCTGTCTCCTGGCCTCCTCCCCGTCCTGGCCTCCTCAGTGCCCCCATCTGCCCACTGACCAAGGTTGCACCATGCTGCCATGAGTCCCAAGGGCAGCCAGCACCCTTCTTCCACCCCCCTCCACCTCCTGTGGAGCAGAGGCAGCCCCTGGTCCCCCCTGCTCTCCCCTGCCCCAGAGCAAGGGTTCCTCAGTGCCCAGCCAGGCACGGGGCTGCAAGGAAACAGCATGGATCCTTTTGGGACTGTGACCCCCAGAGCCTGATGGAGCCAGGGCACAGGGCACAGGGGACAACACACCCCAGGAAGGAGGGAACACTCCAAAAGTGACATGAACTCCATCCTCTGCTTGCCCTGCTCCAGGTGTGTCACGCTTTGCAGACCCTGAGTACCCCAGAGCGGGTGGGTGAGCCTGCGTGGTCACCTTGGAGTCAGGTCATGCCAGCAGCATGCAGGTGCCTGGGTTTGGGCACGATCCCAGTGGCAGCCTCGGGGCAGATGCTAGGCTGGCCATGGGGACAGGTCACCAAGCCCCTTCATGACGGGTCACTGGGTGATGGTGCTGCTGTGGCCCATGCCGGGAAGGACCTCTCTGCTCCTCCTGGCAGACCTCCCTCAGCCAGCTGGGAAACAAAAGCTCTTTGTTCTTTCGCAAGCAACTGAAGAAACTGGGAAAATCCTAAATTTCAGCACTGGCGCAACACCTCTTGCAACCCCGCTTCTCAGCCCCTTCCTGGGACTTGCAGGCACTTCCCTTCTTCTGCAAGACAGGAGGTTGTTTACCCTGGGGTGACTTCAGTGCTTTGAAACCACCTTGCCCAAGCCAACACTGCAGTGTTATCCGTGCAGCTTCGCACGCAGCAGGACCGGGGGGGGGTGGGCAGAGGGGAGGGAGCATGGTGCTATAAAAACAGCAGCCCCAGCACTGCTCTCTATCCTGCTGGTGAAGCTGGATGAGGCTGTGGCAAGATGAGGACCGTGGGGCTGAGCCTGGGGCTGGCCCTGCTCTGCTTGCTGCACACACAGGCCAAGGACCCAGCTGAGGGGCTGGACAAGAGCAAGGTGATCCGCAGCATCCCGGGGAAGGGAAGGTGGGATGTGGCCTCTGGTCAGCAGGGTGGGGACTGGAGAGGTGTTTTGATACTGGGGACAGCTGGGGACCCCACAGCCACTGCTGGCTCCACTGTCCAAGCCCGGTCAGGGCAGTCACGGAGCT